CATAGGCAGTACACAAGATATGGCTTACTACTTTACTTTACTACCTGGGCAATTCCACGGTTCAGCAGCCCAATTGGGACACTTGAGTAGCCGAAAAACAAACTCGGGAGATTTCCCGTTCATAGACCTCACGTGAAAAGCGTCGTCGTCTTTACCGCGGCCTCACGAGTAGTAGTTATAACATCAGCACAGGTCTTTCCCTGACCCCCATCATGGCATTTCATTTCCCCCATCTCAGGGTCCAACAAATGTCGATCTCCGTGCGGGGCGCAGGGTAAGACATACATCGATGAAGATGCCAAGGTCCAGGTCCTGCTTTTCCATGCCGCTGACCACTGCGCTGACCATCAATGGGTACTAGTGTTGCTTCCGAGCAAGGGGCCAATTCGATATTTGATGTACTGAAATGGAGCCCTTCGGAGCCATCATGGCGATTTTGGGACTGTAGCCCCTCTCGAGTCTGTCTGATCTGTACTTTCTGCACCAGTCATGCCCAGTCATGCCCAGTCTGACAAGGTTCCCCCTCACTCGGACTGCATATCTTTATCCCTTTTGCTTTGATCTTCGTCATTGGTAAAAATAAAATAAACTGAACGACTCTCCAGAAAACACGGACGGAGTGGGAGACATCTTGGTCAAGATGTCCCTTGATATACCGATCGTCGGCTATGGTTTTGCGGACAAGTATTACCGGTTTCTTAGCAACGACGCTTGACGGTGGCTACAGAACAAGTCCTGTCAGATCCTGAGGATGCGATTGTCCCCGGGTCGAAAGCCTATTCGACCAGTCTGGCCTCTTGGCGGCTTCCCGTCTGTCTACCCTACCTCCAGCGCTGCATATACCAAACTATATAACCAGTCGCCTGCGGGGAATGGAGTGCTTATCCAAGGGTATCGCATCGTATTCGCTGCCAAAAAGCCGCGGCAGAAGAGTTTCGACCGATAGCGACAGCACTGTACGGTGGTACTTACTCCAATGGGCCTTGGCTCGGCCACGTGTGGACAAGCCCGCCGAGGTGCCGAAGCAACAATGGCCTGAGCAGAGCCTGAGACCCCGACATATGGACCACTCAGGCGCAGAAGGCAGGATGAGGCCCTGTCGCAGGGGTGCCGGGCTGACCCGGCGGCGTCACGGATGGCCACGTCAGTAAGAGCCGACAGCACATGTCCCCCAACGAAACCCAGAGGCACTCCAGTCAGGCAACGATTGGGTCCTCCTCCTCGGTTCCCCCTCGTTACCACGCTGTTGAATGGCAACGACCGATTCCCGATCTGTCCGGCTTCGATCCAATCCCCCCATGACAGCACAAGGTCCTACGGGAACACGGTACGGCATAGCGGACCACATCTCTTCGCCAGAGTCGATCCGACCTCGCTGCTCTTAGCCTCTTACTGTTAGTCGTCGGGCAATGGCGTGGGTGACAACCCAACTTGTTGATCTCAAACACATTGACAACATATTGGCCACCGAATACTACACTCGTAGCAAGTCAGGGCCAGTTGGATACCGATAACTGATATAACAAACTCTACGGCCCTCTGAAGCTTCTGTGGACGTTATTGCTCTCCAACACACGAATCTTCAACGCTCTCACGATCTTTCACAACCTCGGGTTTGATATCCCATCGTACTACAGTGTCTGGGCCGGTCCGAGCAATCCGCAATGCACGCACTATTGAGCTCTCCTCCGTCCCGGCCCAAGGGCATCCTTAAGAAGCCCAGCGGCCTGGACCTACACATGCGGCCTCGAAGTCTATCCTCATCATCGAAGAAGAGCACGGCGTTCGATGATGTCGCCCGAGACATTGTGACCGGGGCCGAGGTGCCGCAGAGCCCGATCCCGTCTTCCGAGTACCGCGCCTTTCACAAAGAGTACCGCCAAGAAGCCGGAAGAGCTCTCCTACTGGCCAAGATCGACGGGATATACGATGAGATCGTTCGACGGCTTGAAGTCAAGGTGGAATCATAGCACGGCATTCCTCCTATTTTCCAGCTTCCTTTGTTCTTCTCCCTACTTCCGACCAAAAATTGGGGACAGGAAATAAAATATACCAAAACAACAGATATGTTATAGCGCCATGCCGCGATGTACAACAACAAATGGTGTGCCAACTTGGGCTTCTTTATACATACCCCCGGGGTCACAGAACCGTTCGACGGATTTTCCACATTATGTTACGTTACGCCGCGTTTCGGTACGCAGCATCACCTACGCCCGCGACGGTCGACCCATCCACATATTTGGCCATTGGTTCCGGAATCGCTCGCCCGGGCCCGGCACTCCCTCCTGCTGTGATCCTTTTCCAGTCAAGCCACGTCCCCCAGGCGCGCCAATGGGACCGTCGACCCCAACGGAGTGGCTACAGACGGGAGAGAGAAAGGGAGAGAGAGAGAGGGAGAAAAATAGTAGAACAAAAAAAAACCAAGAAAAACGACAGCGAAACCAAATCATGTTTAACAGATAGGTAGAAAAAGGACGGCAACGCGGGAACGTGTAAGCTAAGTTAGTAAAGATAGATTGGATCAGGTCGGGCCCAGTCGAGTTGGATCAAGCCCCAGATGGCATGCGTGCCCTCTGCGTGATTACCTGCCTACCTTACTACCTTCACTAGGTACCTGAGGAGATGTTCATTACAATATTAATACGTTTTTGTTCTTTTTCGCCCGAATGTCCCTCTGTATAATAACCCTGCCCAGTTCCCCTGCCTCCTTATTACACCCCTCCCCCTTTCTCATACTCAGCCAGCCAGCCACCCAGTCCAGTCCAGTCAGTCGGGCAACATCTGACCCATTGACCATTCAACCTGACTTCTTCGGCCTGACCATCGGCACGCAAGGCGGCGGGGCATCGCCGTATCTGTGCCCGAGATCCCGCGCCGCGAATCCGGCGTCCTCGAGCATCCCCATGCCGCGCCCGCCGCCGTCGAGATAACACGCGTAGCCGAGATCGTCCGCGAGCCGCGTGACCCAGTCCACGAGCGCCGTGGCGTATCCCCTGCGACGCGCCGTCGCCTTAGTCACCAGGAACTCGATGTCTGCGCGATGATCCCGTCTTCGCATTAGCTCTGCTCTGACACATTATAACCCGTGTTTCTACTCCGTCGACGGAATGGAACGGATGGGCAGATACGGATACGGAACGAACCCGATCAGATCAGATCAGATCAGATCATATGTTGCCGTCCCAAGAGTGTGGCGAGGGAAGATATGAAGGCGGGAGGGTTTCATCTACTTACACACGTGCCCCTCCCTGCCGACGGCCAAGTGATGCGCCCTAGCCAGGGGCTCGAAGAAGTGAGCGAGGCGCTCCTCGCTGAGGTCGGGGAACTCATCGGGGGTACCCCAGCGCCGCTTCCACGAGCTGCCGACGACGCCCGACTGGCCCGGCTTGACGATGTGTACGATGGCGAAGGAGAGTGGGCGGCCTGATGTTCGTCGCGATAGCGGAATTTCATGTCAGTTTCGTCCAGTTCCGTTCAACATGTACATCAACTCAGCCGAACTCAAACGCAACGCCACTGGGCTGGGTGAAGGATTGGGTTGACGTGGCTATCGTTCCATTCGGCGTGTCGGCAGAGGCAAATCAGAGGATGAACCTCGCGGGCCGCGCGACGTCTTATATATATATATATATATATATATATATTGGAACATGACGGGCTTGGTTGGGGTTGTGGTAGACGCTCAATATGGCGCTGGGAAACTGGAACTGAATCTAACGCAAATATTGGGCAGACACACAGACAGGCAGACAAGAAGGCGGGAAATCTCTCTTTTCGACGAGGATTGAGAAAGAAATCAAATACTGTAAAGAAAAGAGAAAAAAAAAGCATACATACGTACCATTCGCGTTTCGAACCACAGCGACCCTGCTCTCGGGGCGATAATACGAGGGCCCGCCGAGGAAGTTCCGGAACCCGCGCTCCAGCCACGTGCGTCCGTTGTCCGTGTGCGGGAACGTCGCCTCGCCGGGCCCGCTGAACGCCTCCCAGAAGAGGGCGATCAGCTCGGGGATGTCGTCTTCTGTCGCTAGGCTCACTTTGACGCCTCCCCCTCCTACTTCTCCGACTCTTGCCGCCGCTACTGCTGGTGATGATGCTGGTGATGCCGGTGACGCTGGTGGTGACCTTGGTAGAGTTGCTTTGCTCTTGGTATCGACCGTGTTCGCCGCCATCGTGTCTGAACTGCTCCCGTCGCCGACTCAGGTATATCTCCTTCTCTAACGATAGCTTTGTGCGAATTATCCTCGGTGTCCAGCGTCGTTCTCTAATCTCGTTGGCGTCGTATCTAGGCGGAGGAAATAAAGATTATGCCCCTAGAGATTTGGTTTGAGATGGTTGAAAGGCCAGTTATTGCGTGCAGTGAGTGGTTAAGATGAACGGAATCGACGCCCGAGCCTCCTACATGAACTTTCATCTCGTCAACGAGCAACATAACGTACCACATACATATTAACATGGGCTACCCCCGGTTCCCAGAGGCCAAAGTCTATCAAAGTCATCGACTGTATAAACTCCGAACAACGAAAAATAATATCTTACTACGAGACATCATCGCGTCATCAATGTCAGAACGTCATGCATCCGTAGCGTGATGTAATGATTCGCGCGGGCATCAACTTACAAGGATCTAGGTAGACAAGTAAGGGGTAAGTTAAGTAGGTAAGTAACTATGCGAAAGCGTCAAGAAGGCCAGAGTAGAATTCAGAGCGGATAGCACCGTGTGCGCGTATCTCAATGAAGAAATACCCAACCTAGGTACTCGAATCTACGACTCGAGACATTTCTTCCGCCTGCCCTGTCTTGTATAAGCAGCAGTGGCATTACAAGCACGCAGACAGTCTAGATTACTCTGCGCGAGTTGTAATTCTTTGCATTGCTGAGCACAGATGTCAATACTTGCATTGTTTGTACCCATCGTGTTTCCCCCCTTTTCCCACACTACAAGGTAAGTACTATATAAACAACTATAAACTTGCGATTCCCTCAACACCGCAATTGCCCGGTTAGCTCAATCGGTAGAGCGTGAGACTCTTAATCTCAAGGTTGCGGGTGAGTACTCACCTGACAAACAACTTCAGCCCTATATCCGCTAACTAAACCCTCCAGGTTCGACCCCCGCATCGGGCTCAATTCCTGATGCCTCCCAAGATTCACTGGGAGTAGCAACCAAATTTTTATTTTTCTATCTTATTTTCTCTTTTCCCCCCGATGTTTTATTTTTATTTTTATTCATCAGTCTGTCAGCGCCCGCTTTTCTGGTCACCTTTCAAACGGGATCACTCCAGTTTTTTCTTTCTTATCTTTTCTCTCTTTTTTTTGCTAGAGCCTAGTGTTGTGCGCGATACGACAAAATCTCCTGACCAATCGTCTGCTCTGTAATTCGTCGCCGCGAGCTCGCCGCCATACATCCCGGCAACAGTGCGGCTACTGTAATATACACTGCATATCTTACATTTCCCACCCAACGCCCTCCTGGACATTATATAATCGTCCGCTCTATTTTGGGTTGTACTTACCTACCAAATACAAAGTAGGCTATACGTCATAGGAAGTAATCATATAGATTACCCGTCCTGGTGTCACTGCTTTAAGTTTGTGCTTGGCTCGATGTAACCACTGATGTCTACCAGATTATAATTATCTGCAGTAGATACTGATCAGGAGAAAATGTGTGTAGGCAAGAACACCTATACATCTATAAAATTGAATAATCATTCGGCCTACGCTAAGGAACCATGGATGGGGTCTCTGGGCGGGATGAGGTGCCTTAGAAAATAAATAATTAGCTGATGAACTGCTTCGTGTGATCCTACCTACTTGTTAGTGTGGTTGGAGTGTATGGCTTGACCACGGTAGCCAACTGGCGGATTCGCCTCAACCTCCAAAGGATGGATGCCCCTCCCTCTCTCAGTAGATATTTCTATCGTGTCTACCTGGTATAGGAAGGAGGTCGGTAGGAGTATGTAGATCAACCGACCAGTCAAAACTGTAGGCCGGCCTAATTGGGTGTAGCCTGGACAAAAAAAGTGGAGTACTCACCTTAAATAACTATACGTTTTATAGTCGTTTGATCTAGGTATATTAGCTGCGGCGGTATATAGGTACATAGTTATTAAATACTTATTTAAATTAATAACACTGTTAATATATAAATTATAAAAATAAAAAGTATATTATTAAAACCAAAAAAAAAAGCTAGTTTTTTTAATACTACTATTAATATATACATTTAACTATATATTAAATAAATATTTATTTAACTAATTTTATATTTTATTTAAATATATAACATTATAAATATATAAGTTATTAAAATAAAAAATATAATATTAAAACCAAAAAATTATACTAGTTATTTTAATATTAGTGTTAATATATATATTTAAATATATATTATATTAATAATTATTTACTTAATTTTAACATAAATATATATTTTAAATATTATAAATATAATTATTAAATATATATTTAAATTAATAATACTATTAATATATAAATTATAAAATAAAAAATATATCATTAAAAAAAAAAAAAAAAGTTAATTTTTTTAATATAAATATTAATATATGCATATAACCATATATTAAATAAACATTTATTTATTTAATTTTATAACTTATTTAAATAAATAATATTATTAATATATTAAATATTAAATTTAAAATTATAACATTAAAACCTAAAAAATATGCTGATTTTTTTAATATTAATATTACTATATATATTTAAATATATATTTAATAAATAACTATTTAATTAATTATAAAATTTAAAACTTAAATTATATACTATATAATACTTATTATATATATTAAAGTACGTAGCTTTATTATAAAAAAATCTACAGTTATAATAATATATTTTTTATATTTATAGCTATTTTATATAATTAATTATTAATTAAATAAATAAAAAACGATTTATTTTAAGTATATATCGCTATTTTTTATTATAAGTGGTTATAGCGCACTAATACAAAGGTAAATCCACCTAATTATTTAATTAGAACTTTCGCACTTACTAAATAACCTACTCTGCCATTTTTTTTATAACCCCTCCCCTTTCTTTCTCCTACTTAAAACTATCGGTGTTATTATTAAGTTATATTCTACGTCGGCCAATTAGCATATAATTATATATATATTAACACATATTCTCGGTCTTTTTATTAATAACTTAATAAGCTAATTATAATAGCGTCCTCTACAATAGAATATTTTAAAAATTTTAATTATTAGCTTTTAATAAACGTTATTTAATAGTCTATTTATTAAATATTTTATTAACTGTTTGCGCAAGCTAAAATGGCAAAAATATTATATTTTTAACAAGCGCTTATTTAAAATACCACCTTTTAAAATAAAAGTATTAAAAAACCGACGCTATATTTATTAAATATTTACTAAGCTGTTTATAAAAAAAAAACTATTATGTTTTTATCGGCGAATGCTTTTATTGTGTCCCCGTTAGTATAAATAAAAACGGCTTGCCTTTTTTTTACGGCAACACTGTATATTTATTACCTACTTATAGTTTATTTATAAAGTATTTACACACACTTTTTAATTAAACTTTAAAAAAGCTAGATATAATAATTTTATATGTTATATTAAAAGCTATATTATTAAACCTAATGGTAATATAACCTTTATTATTTTAACTACTATAAAAAGTCCGAACTTTTTTTTTTGCTTTAAAGCTTATAGTAAGCTATATTAGCTTATTTATTTATTGTTTATTATACGATTACTTATATATAGTTAAAATATTAGCGCAAAATATCAGTATAAAAAGCTAATTTAAAGAATATAAAAGTTTTGCAAACCTTTTATTATATTACTAAACCTTATAAAACCGACCTGTTCGACATTTTTTAAAGCTATTTATTAAATTTTTATAGTAGCAAAAAAATTATATAAAACTTATATTTACATAATTAAATATTTATTAATAACTATATAGCTTAATTTTATTAAAATAAAACAGATAGTAAAAACCTTTAAAGTATATAAAAATTATCGATCGGTTGGTTTTAATAATAATAAAAAAAAAACAATCTGTTTATATTTTTATAAAATATTAATTAGGCCTTTTATTATAAGCTATTCTATTGTTCGCACTGCGAAATGCTATATATAAACCAAGTTTAAATCGAGTACTTATAAACAATAAAATAAGCAATACTATAACAACCCTAAGGCGTAAGAGTTTTTAATAATAACTGGCTATACTTTATAGCAATAATAGCTATATAAAAAAGCTGGCGACTTTTTAAAAAATATTTAAAAAAGCAAAAAAATTGCTAACACAGACTTAAAAATAGCTAAAAATAAAAACTCGAATAATAAACAATTTAAAAACGCTTATAATAAAAAAAACCCGGCTATTTTTTCTGCAATTATTACCACATTTTTAAAAAATAGCAATAAAGCCAAGTTAAATATACCTTTTATTTAAACTAAGTAAATTTTTAATAAAAACTTTATTATTGCGCATATAAATAATATTTTAAGCCAACTTAATATAACTATAAAGCAGCCAGACACTACTAATAAAAATGCTGTAAAGTTTTTAAATACTTTTTCTACTGCTTTAAAAAATAAAAATCCGGCCTAGTCCTCGCCAAATATTTAAAATAATAAAAAAAAAGGCAAAAAACCAAAAAAAGCTCTAATAGGTCTAAGTTCGCATTAAAATAATCGATTTAAAAACGACGAAAAAAAAAAACAGGCTAACTTTTTTAAAAATAATTAAATAATAAAAAAATAAAAATCTTATACGGCCAAAAAAATAATGTTTAATGTTTAAAAAAAGCTTAAAGCGAATAAAATGACCGATAAAAAGATCAGCGCGCGGATTAATGGTTAAACCGAGCGTTTATTTTTAGATTACTCACTACGCAGATTAGTAAAGCGAGGTTATTTTTTTAAAAAATAATATATTAAAAATAAAAAAATAAATTAACTATAAGCAAAAAACCGGGTTTATACTTATAAAATACTTTATTAAAACTTTAATACTAATATATAAATATATATAAATATAGTTTTTACAAAACATAAAAATAGGAGTTATTTTATCAAATACTAAAATAAAGGGTTTTTTTTTTTTATTAACATTTTAAAATGCTAAAATATTATTAAATAGTTTTTTATATTAATTATATAGCTATAGCCTAGCTAGCTTATATTCCAATTAATTTTATTAATTAATTATTATATTTAGTTTTATATATTATTTAATCTGCTTTAATATATAATCTAATTATATATTATTTATTTCAAAGCTATATATAATTAATAACTCGTTAAATACTTATATAAATTATATTAAAATATAAAATAAATAGTTAATATAGTCTATACTACCACATAGTATATATATTATTAATAAGTAATTGGTCACATTTACTACTTATTTTTTATATATTAACTAATTTATTTTTTTTTTTAAGCCTCTCGTTTTAATTTTTTTATCTTCAGACGTTTTAATCGATTTTTTAGTTTAATATTTTTACTGCTAGCATTTAATTTTCTAATTTCGGCCTGTTTTAATTTAGCGTTTAGTTTTGCTAATCGAACTGTTAATGCTATAGTTTATACATTATGCATAGCTATACGTTTATAAAAATAATAAGTACTTTAAAAGTTATTTTTTTAAAGTGGACATACTTTATATTGCTGCATTAAAATGCCTTTTTTTTTTTAAATAGCGATCTGTCCGATGTTTTATAATAACAGGCAGGCGGTGTTCGCTTTAAAAAATTTTTTAAAGGCTTGTTTTTAATTACTATAAACCCGCTAAAAGTTTTTTTAATTTATAAAAGCGACTGCTATAGTCTTAGTGTATAAAATAAGCGTACAGATTTAGAACTGCGGCCTAATAGTGTGCTAAAATGCAAATACCGTCTTATGCGTTTTTATTTTTTATTACTTATTATAATAAGCAAATATTATATTATAATAAAAAAAAAACTTATTTACGTTTTTTATTATTTATTGCTTTTTAGCGGCCAAACGTACTTATATTTTTATAATTAACTTTTAAATAGTATTATTTAAAAA